GTGAAACATCTTTTTTTTTCCAAACAAAAACTGATTTTTAAAGCAAAAGAAAGCATTTTATTGTTTGTGGGGTTTTTTTGGTAACCCACAGTTAAAAACCATTTCCATGACTATAGTTTTCTTACAAGAAAGCATTCTCTTTTAGTCAAGACTTATTTTCAGCTGGAAAAAGATTTTGTATCAGCCCCTGCAGGCTTTCTGCAAGTAACAGCCTGAACTGCACAGATACAAAAGAGTAGCTTCCATTTTATCAGAGAGAAAACAGTAACAAAAGCTAAGGCCTTATTTTCAGAAGCAAATGTAAACATTATCATGATACAGGATCAGCCCAAAGGTCTCTCTAGTGCGATAGCCTTTTTTTTACCTGAAAGAGAAGACACCATGGTCACAGAAGGTGGATTTTCCATGACGAAGCTAATCCTTTGCATTCCAGATGTTCTGATCCCTGTAATTTTCCCTAGTGAAGGAACCACTACTGCCTTTTTGGTAGTAGGAGATTGTTTGCATCCTCCCCCGGTTGAAAGCGGCTGCCAGCAGTGGAGGCATACAGAAAGTCTCAAGAATGGATCCGGCACGTGCCTATCTGCAATCCCCTCCCACCTTCCAACAGTACGCTACACGTGGCCTACCTGAGTTCTGAGCAGATATCAACATGCTTTCCACCTCTAGCATGCACAACTACCTGTTGCAACAACTTCCATTGCTTAATTGCTCATTACATAACTAAGTGGCAGCTTTTTTTGCTTGCTCGGGGCATCACCTACAACTGTCGGTTAAAGCTATCTTGCTGCTTTATTATGAGAATATCGTTCCCTGTGCACCTCTTCCAGATTCACTTATGATTTTACAGACCTATGTGATATGCCAATGTTCTCTTCTCTCTTCCTCAGGCTTCTTTTTTACTAAGCCATTCAGGCGCTATGCAGAAGACGTTCTGTAACATTGATAGATTTTCTTGCTTTTCCTTCTGCCATAAATAAAAAATCTAGTAGATTCACCTGTCTGATGCCCTTGGAGAAGCATTAAGTAGCTCCATACTGCCCACACTACAAGTGGGTAAATTCTGCCTGACGAAACTACTTTAGTGCATACCCAGAAGCAAGGATGCATTGTACCAAGAGTATCTTGTGCAGCATGCTCCTTTCTGCTTCTCGGATGTTAACAAACTGGTCAAGCATAATTCCATTCTCCTCCACATCATTTCAGCCCAGTTCTTAACATCACAAGGTAAAAAGAAAAAAAAAAAATCAGTGCTGTTTAACGATATCAGAAGTACATCTCATTAACAACTTGAAATGCCTGATCGCATTCTTGTACTTCATGCTGAAAACATATCCCCAGGGGTCTTACCCAGCTTGACCTTCTTAATCTTTGCTTTTCCTCACAGCATTGATGCTCTAGTTTCACAGACATTCATACAGACCAGGTGCAGACTCAGAAAGGTAGCATCTCCTCTTAGGTCAGCAATAATGTGGTTGTATTAGTGTTGGAACCATATTCCTAGTTCATTTCTGACAGCAGTCTGGGTTTCTCCTGTTGCTGGAGTAACAGCATGCTGCTTAGCAGTCCCAAGACTTACTCAGCTTTATCCTGATGCCGTGTGTATGCTTTCAGCATGCTTCAGCTTCGTCTGAAGCTCTTTTACCCTTGTGCTCCATTCAGTCTGCATTTGTGGGCAAGAACACGCTCAAAGCCATGCACTTTGGAAATTTGTTTCCTGTGTCTATATACAGCACCTTCTCTCAATAGTAATGCATAGGTTTGCTTTCTGTGATTTCTCTCCTTTTCTTACTCATTCTTAAGTATGGGTGTTGAGCACTTACTTAAAACTTTTTGTTGTTTGGTAAGCCCGTTAGTATTTGGTATCTGCCATCTTCTTACTTAGAATATACTAGCATTAGGAGATACTAGCAATTAAGTGTCTCTTTGTCAATAGCCTTTGGTTTTCAGCTTCTTCTAAATTCAGTTATGAGCTGGTTGATGCCACACTTATTCAGATTTTTCACATCTTCAGTATAAAAAAGCAGGAGCTTTAGGTAGGTAAAGATTATGGCACCCAGAAAGTGAGCACCACATTTGATTTCTGTGGAACTATCCTTTTGGCCAGATGATAGTTCTAAACAAAAACCAGCTAAAAAACACACAGATTATGCCTATGGGATAGGATGATCCATTAGAATCCAGTCTCATCCTGAATATTTTAATCTAGATGGTCCAGTATATATATATAAAAAAAAAAAAAAAAAAAAAAAGCATATGTATACTAGTTAGGGGGAAGGATACCCAAATTCCCAGAATGCAAATCTTAGAAAATGTGACAGGATACTTTAAAACTTGGATCCAAGTTCAGTGATTAGGTCACTAGCTCTCCTATGTATACTATCATACTATGAAATATAAATTGATTTAAAGAAGCCATACGCTCCGTAAAAGACACTGCAGGGAGAGCAGCATGCACTGCTGATACTGCTTCCTGACATGCTGGTTCTCAGCACTGCTTGTGGTTTGCTATGAGCTAAACGTATCACTTGAAGCTACCTCTCCTCACTTTCAGCTGAAATACTGAATTAAAGGAAACTAAAAATATATTAGAAAATTGGATTGAAGGAACATATCCCAGCTAATACACAGGCAGCTGCTTTGAAAGATGGTTACCCTTCGAATGCTCCATTCTTTTCCTTGGCTCCACTTGGAAACATCAGGTGAAGCTCCAAGTCTCTCTGCCAACCTAAGATTTTACAAGTGAGAAGGTGAACACCAAAGAAAAATCACCTCTTTTGGGAAAGAACTCACTTTGGGGGAGTTAGAACCAGACCTTGGTGCAAAACAGATGATTGGTGAATAAGACAGTAAAATTTTCGTAGAAACGAGATTTGAACTACAGAAGTCACTCCTTCAAGAGAGGAGTTGCCACAAAGCTGAACTCTCAATACAAAACTCTGTTCTTCTCCCTGGAGTTTTTCAACATCTTTCCTATGGCATTAGAAGAAGGATATAAATACATGTGTTCAACTAGCTCACCAAAATCGAATTTTTAAGTGCCTTGAAGGCGTACTCAAATTCCACTGATAGATACCCCAGAAAGCTTCCAGATCATTCCACAAACATCTCAGGAACATAAATGTAATTTCTGGAAAACAGAATGTCTGCCAAAGAACTCTGGATCAAAAAATCCTTCAGTGATTTTATTCCAAATCTGGACAAAAAAAAATTTAAACAAGACTATAACCCAGCCTTTGATATAAAACTGTTCGATCATTGTCTCTTTTTACAGAAGGGACAAAATCTGACCCAACTAAGGGTGGCTCTGATTGAAGTGACCATACCACAAGGCACCATTTTGTATATATATTTTTAGTGGAAAACTTTTGACAAAAAGCCCAATAAACTTTCAGCCAGAGGCACCAAAATATGTAGCGAAGCATGCGTCATGCTTTTAGGATCCTTTCGTAAGTACAGCAAGCCTTCCAGAGGCTTGTTGGCACTATCAGCTTCCAGAGTAAGTAAGGCTGGCTGTACCACTTTGAGAGCATGCTCCAGTAGCCTGGAAGAAACAATGTCTTATCAGCAAGCTAGGCTGCTCCTCCTCAGCAGAAGTTACAGGGCATAATGCATGTGTTAGTTTATCAAACTAGGCTGCAGTTTTTGTTTGGTGTCACGTTTTGACTGTCAAATTCTACTTGTAGGTTGGAGATAAAACCCACTTGCAGATCACTGTGCAACAGACTGTCTCTGCATGAAAATATCTATATATTTCTCCTTAAGTCTTCATATTGCTACCTGTTCCTTGATGGACATTTTCACACACTTAACAACAAAAGGCTTTTGACTGCTTAATGAGGCAGTTTTATCAGAACAAACGCAAAGTACTATTTACATCACATTTTTTGATCCTCATGTTAATGTCAAATGCTGCTTCTCAGCTGCTATTCTCTACAAGACTTTGTTTAGAAGTTCACTTGACAAATGAAGATTATTCAATCTGAGTAAAGCCTGCGTTCACTCTTCAGCTTGTTAGGAGATTTTACGATTCAGCACGGCCCTTACATTGAGCAAATTCAGATTTCTATCGACGAAAAGACTTTGAAATTCTTGAATGGTTTGTATCTTGCCTAATAACACAACACTGAAGAATCAAGTTGGAAATGAAGATATTTTCTGTATGGCATTCCGTTTCCACTTCTATCCAATCGAGTGAAACAGGGCAAACATAGCAGAGGAAAGCAAAACGAATTTATCACCTAAGTGACTTTGGTTCTGTTCATTAATCACATTTTGTGGTATTACTTGTTACAGAACCTGGGTATGTTTAATATAAATGAAGACTTAACATTTCAATTGGATTAATCAAGAGGAGGCCTTTCAGCCCACGAATTGAACTGGCACATAACAATTCCTTCAAGCCTTAGTTTGTATTAGCACAAGAAAACTATTTCTGATTTTAACAGACTAATGGTAAAATTAGATACAGCTATGCAGTTCATCTGTGTAGGTCTGCTGAATGTGATACTTTAGCAAAACAGAACAGATAAAAGTTTAATGGAGTTATTTATCCATATGCATGAAAGCTAAGAAATACTTATTATGTGTTTACCTAAGGCATCCTGGACAGACCATATTCAAGTCTCCTCTGCTGTTCAGATTAAACCACAAGTAACTGGTTGTCTCTTTTTCATTAAAAAACGAAAGTTGACTAGCTCCTGAAACACTGGTGAACTATTTAATATGGCATTCTTTTCAGCACCTGTCGTACAGAAACCTTTGAGATCTTTAGACACAAAGAGCGTTTGGTTTCATGGTGCTTACAACAGGATTTCTCTCAGCACAGCTTATGTTCTACCTCACAGCAGCACACATTTTAGCATGCTTTGTATTTGTTTTAAGATATGCAGTCAAAGAAAACAATCCCTTTTTTAATATAATAATCTTGAAATCCAAAATGAATGCAAAACCGTACATTTTTCTTCAAACTGTAAACGTGTTTAAGAATTAGTCCTAAATACAGCTTCACATTTATTTGGGCTAAGAGCGGCCAGTTGTGAGCCAAGGTTTCACAGTTATGCAATGCTGTTCCAAACCATAGTCCAATATTGCAGGTTTCCAGTGATCCAGAATACACAATTATACTTTTTCAAGGGGGAAAAAAAAAAATTAACTGCAAATATACAGCTCTTGCTGGTATTACAACATAACTACATGATCATTAACTATAACGTTACCAGCTTCGAGTTTATCCATACATTTGTCATACCAAGCTACAAGACACCCTGCCAGCAAGTGAGCGCTCCAAGCATTTATAACTGGATGTAGAGTTTCAGTGTAAAATATCAGAAATATAATTCCTATTTTGTCCAGAGTTGTGTGGGGTTCTCCCCTGCCATTCTTTTGTGTTGAAATAAACAGTTGTTTTAATTTTCAAGGTACTGCACTTTTGCTCTAAAGCTGAATTCCAAACTGAGAAGGAGTGCAGTGGTTTTGGTCACTACTGTGGAAATGTGACTGCAGAGGCAGAAAAAAAACTTATTGAGTATTTTTTTTTTTTATTTTCTTTAAGCACAGCACTGGGGCAGATTTTTCTAAATTTAAATGTGTATCTGCAACTGAAATTTTTTCTTTTCAAATTAGATCTCCCTCAGGATTCTCCTTGGCACCCCTGCACAAAGTTTAAAACGTCTCCTTTTCCTAACAGATACTTACCAAAGCAGTAATCCCCAAAGACAAAGCAGATTATTTTATAAAAATACATTTAATTTACTCTAAAAAAGGGCACATCAAATGCCTGAAGTGTGTATGCCTGTTACAGCTGCTCAAATCATGTGCAGAAAAAGATATAATGAGTGGCAAGCAGTAGTTTTCAGCAAGTGCTAATGAACAGTTTCAGTGCACCTGACATTAATAGTTCCTCCCTAACAGCACCAGAGGTAATTGTTACAAACTAGTATGGATATTTACTAACAGGATACATATTATGGCAGAATTCATGAGAAAAAAGGAAAGTGTACTGTCCAGTTCTCTTTTTTAGGATGACTTTGAAAGGAAAAAGAAGTGTATATGCTTGGATAAAACTGAATGCAAAGACACACCTCGTCCCAGTGAAACTGAAAGATACTACAAACCACATATAAAGCTCTCATAATATGAAAACCTGCTCTATATCAAACGCTTACAAATAAAGTGTCAAAGTAGGCCTACAAGAAGAATACTGAAATGCTTCTCTCTGCTAACTGTAAATATTAAAAAATACCATATAATTCATTTTTATTCTGAAAAATAGAAAAATGTGAAAAATATTTACTTGAGTAAATGAAAAGAGTCTAGACCGGTGCAGTGGAATTACAATAGTAATTCAGTTCTTTTTCTAGGTAAAGGCATTAGTTTGGTCATTTTCATGGGTTTCCAGTGCAATGTGATTTAATCTTACTCAGATGAAGACCAGCTAAAGCTTTTCTTGTTTGGGATAGGCTACTATAAACACTTGGCAGTGCAAATCCATGTTATTGAAATGAAAGGTAAGAATCAGAAGAAACGAAGAGGTGAAATAAGTGGTATCTCAGATAAGATAACAAACAAGCTGGTTGTCACATTTTGAAACGACCCTTTCAGCATGTTTAAACATTATTCATAAATATAAAATTTAGTAAACTTATAATCGCTATAAAAAATTGTACTTTTTAAACCTACCAACCCAACATGTGCATTTTAGACATACGAGCAGCAGCTTACAAAAGACATTCTGAAGTTGAACACCACCACAGTAGTATACTGTGCCCTGCTCTCTTATATGCATTTAACAAATTTCTCAGTTAGCATGATTTGAAATATAAACATCTTCAAAGGTTACGACCATGAAGGATTTTAATCCACTTATTCTGTTTTCTTTGCCTGTCGTTTCTTAACACCATCACGGTGCTGTCCAGAGGTAGATCGGTCACAGACTGAAGAGCCATTGGAAGATACAGCACCTTCACCCTTCACTTTAGATGGTGTCTGTTGCATGCCAAAGAACATATGGCCTAATGCGGCCTCAAGGGGAGCAAACGGAGAAGCGGCAGACCGTGTCAACATCATTGTTACCTATGAAGAACAAGGGTCACGTTACATTAAAAGCTTTAATGCTTTCATACCGGTTGAAAACAAGTTCAGTACTGAACCGATGTATGGCATTTCTAACTTCCAATACGAGCATGAGGAGGCCATGCCACCAAGAATAGAAATATGCTCATTTCATCTTAGCTTGACTTGATCAAAGAATGCTTTTCTTTCCGGCCTGCACCCCTCACACAGCTATACACAACAATGTACACAAAAAACTTTCTGTGTAATTTTCTTTACTGAAATCATCCTAAGACGACAAGACTTTCAATGTTATACAGCTAGGAAGAGCTATATTCAGGTGTAAGTATCTTGCTCAGACTGAAAATACAGGAAACAGAGCGGCTATTTCTTTAACATGCAAACATTTAAATGTTCATGCAGAGATAAAGCCATATCTTAGTTAGAACTCCATAGAGTCACACTCTCTCATTACATAAAGCTGAGGCTGGCAACACTTATTTAGATGGGAATTCTTTAGGGTGCATAATTAGGAGTCAGGATAGAGAAACTGTTTTGTAGATCCAGATATTGGACCAGTTTGTACCGGAGCAGTTCCAGAGACATGAAGAGTTTCTAAAACAAGACACTACTACAGGACTATGCCAGATCCACAAGTGCTGCTCGACTAGTTTAACGGATGCTCAAGTTCCTAACTGGCAGGATGACCATTAGTTTAAAAACTCATGCACTGAAGTGCAGCTTGGCAGCCAGTTTCTGAAGACGGTTGTAATCTGTCATTTCCAGAATATCATTCCTTTCCTTCTCCACTCCCAACCATCCCTAGATCAGCAATGCTTCTATTGGTTTTGATGAAGAATCTTGAGCATCAGCTTGAAGTCATGGCTCACAAAAGCAACTTCTCTGAAATTATATTTTCCAGTTACTTCACTGAAAGGAGATTGGCAGCAGCTATTTTAAGACATTCTCTACTCTGTTCATCAACAGCAAGTCAGAAGCTCTTAAAATTGCTATGCTTTTGCTGATGCAGAGACTACACCTTTCTTATTAGCTAAGAATCCTGACAATAGACATCATCCTGGAGATGAACTGAAAAGATCAAAAAGATTCCATGGAGAATTAATATCTTGGAGAATCAATGGAGAATTAACATTCTTTTTTTTTTTTTTAATTAAAAATTTAAGTTACAGCTACTTCACAAGGTGCACTGTTCCCCACCACACATTTACAATGCAAATGCTTTAAGCTAGATTAGTACCTCATTGCATTGTTTTGCAAACCTACAGGTACCTGCATATGTACAAGGAAGGGATTAAGCAGTTAGGAAAAGGCAGAGGAGAGGTTTTTTCCACAACCATCATTTTTGTTTGAGCTCACGGATATATAAGTTTGGCATATCAACTGCTAGGTGCCAAAATTTATGACTTTTTTTTTTTTTTACCCCGTACACTGAACGGTATCAGAGTAGGTCTTTCGTTCTGCTTAGGTACAGAAGACTGAACACAGGCTTAAGGCATAACCAGCAGGGGTCCTCCAGGTGCAGAAGCAAGCATTCTAACTCGTGGTAGAACGTTTGTGGACATTTTTTTTTGTGCTGAAATACTGAGAAAAAAAAAATATTTTCAATTATTCGGTTATCCCAACACCTCAAAATTCTTACCTTGGTGACAACCAGAAAAATGGTATATAAAAACATGAGGTTGTGTCTTGCTATTGGCAGGTACTGGCTATGCTGCAGCGTGAAAAGAACCGCTCCTATCAAAGTTACCTTAACAGGGCTGGAAATAAAACAAATCACGTTAATTTCTCTTCTCTACTTTACAGTGAAATCTGTCATGGTCTGGAAAGCAAGAAAGCTTCTCAGCATGCAAAACAATTATTTCTGAGCGTAACAGACGAAAGCTTGTGGTAATAATTCAGTGACAAGTTTCAAAACCTAGTTATTATTAAACTAAGAAGTTCACCCTATAAACTAGTATTATGCTTTCTATATTAAAAACAAGCACTGAGTTCACTAATGCTTTATATAGCCAGTAAACTCTTCTTATTTGACAAACCGTCCTCAAATCAAAATGCATTCAAATGCCTCTATTCGGACACCGTATGTCAGCTTGCTCCCCTTCCTAAAATGCATTCCAGTGCTTCCATTCGGACACCGTATGCCAACTTGCTCGCCTTCCTTCTCTCCCAATATCCTCTACTGAAGAATTAAATGACAAAGTTTAGGCTATTTGGACTGAACTTAAAAATAAGCTGCTCTCCTATACTCCAGGTGTTAGTTATTCCAAACAGTTGCTGAAGTTGTCAAAAACAACTTTGTTCAAGTTTCAATCCACTGTGTCACCCAACCAGTTCTAAGGTTGGAGTCAGCTTACAGTTGACTTGAGCCAGGCCTACATTATTAAGTTTTGCCAACACAGTTGTGTTGACTTGGTGCACCTCTTCTAGCTAACTTCACTGTGGTGGCAAGTCCTGTGATACATATACAGTAAAACAGTAAAAGAGCTTTTGTTAACTATCTCAAGTCATTTGAAAACACGGTACTCATAGTGGCAAAAAAATTCTGTGCATTTCTTAACCTGCCTCTACAATAGAAAAGTGTCATTGCTGTTATCACAGAGCGTCTAGTGTAGACACACTCCTCACAGCTTCTTCGATAACTTGTCTATTTACTGAATCTACTTACAGCATTAGCACATTCCTGATCAGGAAGTCAAAAATACAAGCCTGTTTCTATATGCATGCATTTCATCTGTTTGCAGAGTGTTTTATCCATTTAACTTTATAACTTCCATTAATCTTCCTAAGCTCTACGTATTAAACTAAATTTTAAAAAAACACTTCTCAGCTACCTTTGAGTCAGCCAAGTGAAAGGAGAATATGTCCAACTTCTGCCACAGTCTGCAAGCACTGCTCTAGTGCTGCATCAGCTAAGTACAGTAACATTACTGACACTGACAACTTTCTTCCGGAAGTTTGTTTCAAAGGCTGCAGCAGCCTCTTATGCACTGGCTAAGGGAGAGAAATTCTAATATTTGGTATTTCTGAAACAGCCAACAATTAACACAAGCTCTAAGAAGTTAAAATATTTCCAAAGGAAAGGTCTCTTCTCTCACTCTCTGTTGCTAAGGGTGGCTGTAGAGAAGCACGATACCATTTTTTAAAATCATCTTTTATAAAGACAGGAGAGTCATGTAGGAAGAATTAAGGGAATTTTAAGAAATGACCACAATGAGCTTATCTCCACTTACAACAATAACTTGTGGCTTTCTAGTCTGTCTCAGTTCTCATTTTATTGTAGAAACTAAATTACGATCCATTTAATATCCCATTCTTTGCTTCTGCAAGAGACGTAGCATTTTCTGTCTTGCAGTACACGAAAGATGTTGCTGTATTTTTGCTATATTGAATAATTGATTTGTAGAGTCTCTAATAATATCTTTTGAGAACCATGCTGGCAGAGAAAGATTGACAACCCTCAAAGGAAGCCATCAGTGATGTTCAGAACATGCACCAAAAGTGCAAGCTGCCCATGTATATTTGCGGAACCAGTGGCCTTTGGCTTTGGATACAAGGTCATGTCCATACAGGACAAAGGAGCTTTTCCTACTGACTTTTTATTAACTCTTCCCATTTGCTGTTCTTCTGTTGTAATCCTAAAATAAATAAAACATTCACTTAAATGAGCAAAGAGTATCAATTAATGTTTTACAAAATAAATATCGAGTACAGATTATAAACTTTTTTTTTTTTTTTTTTTTAAATTTGAACCACTAAAAGTTAGACTCAACATAAGCAAGTTGCAAGAGAACTGTAAACATACTGTAGTCTTTTTAAAAAACTTACTAGGACATCTTCAGTAATTCATTGGTTTCAGGCTTCCACACTCCTCTCACCAACTGCTCAAAGTTGGAGATTAGGCCACCACCAGCTCCTGAAATTGCAGAGATTTACAGCAAGCCTCAACTGGCACGCTATCACTACTGCAGAGCCTATTGTTGCTCCCAACAAAACTCCAGTTACAGCAGGTGCCATAACTGGCACCCAAAGCTCAGACTTAGAGGGCATAAGCCAATCTTTCAAATGGTCAAGACTTGAGTGGCGAACATGAAACCTCAGAGGTTCAGCAAGAACCTCCAGTTCACCTTTATGTGATAAATATAAACATCTGGAACTGACACACTAACCACTGGAAACTATAATGCCTGAAATCCCAAAATGAATCTTCAGAGAAGCTTATATGACTCCTTTCTTAAGACGGTCATTTAAGTACAGATAGTGGAGGCCTTCCACAAGAAAAGGTAGATGTGTATTTTTACACTAAAAGATTACCATGTTAGAAATCTGTCCAGTGAGACTGATCTCTACCATAAATTGGAAAAACACGTTAGACCATCATCACATTAATACCTGTTGTTTCTCAAAGCAAAACAGAGTCAAATAAATAGAGTCATACCATTATTTCCTGAAGTGGTTCTAACTATGTGACTGTTGAGTTTTGCTGCAATGAAGTTAGTTTCCCGAATCATACTTAAATACAGCAGGCAGGTAGGAGGGTTCCTTCATCTGTTTAAGTCAGCTAATGCTTGTGAGCCAGAACGTTAGAAAACAATCTCTCTTCTTCAGCCACATATGCAAGGACAGCAGCTCTGAGGAACTACATCCTTAGGAGAGTTCAGTTAGCACTGAATTTACAGGAGAGAGCTTTCCTTGTTGCTATCAAATGTCCATCCTACAAGTCCCTGCAAGACTGCCTGAAGGGGCAAGATGCACTTCCCTCAAAGCCATTCAATGCCACCCTTAATCCAGGCAAAAAAAAAAGCTGCTGCACAGACTTTTTTTTTCCCTTGAGGGGGTAACAGACTCTATGGGGACTATCATGCCCACCCCAGCAAGGAATTTCACCACAGTTAAGCTGAAGGGATAGACATTTAAATACCATTCCAAAACATCACAATTCATCAGAACAAGATACTGTGCATGTTACCTCTGGCCCAGCCCACAGCTACCATAACAAGCCAGGCATTTTTGAAGTGACTGTCTGCATGTGCAATGCCAGCCGTTATTTTCCAGGTCCTAGTCACTTCTTTCATTCCTGCAACCAGAAGCCGAACAGGCAGAAATGCAAAGCACCGGTAGAATATGTCTTGTGGGCAGTAAAATACAAGATACCTGAAAATTGTAATGAAAAAGCTAGTTACTAGTCTTTAAGTATCTCTGCTAAGGAAATTACTTCCTAACAACCCTTTAAGATATTTTTTGAAGATGACAAGTGATGCTTGACATACTACTGATATCTCATTGTCCTAAGTTAGATGTATTAGAAAAAATTTAAAACACACTTTTGAGCTTTCTGCATCACAAAAGTCACACAGCAGTTGAAACTCTTCTCACGGCCCCATTGTCACAGAGAAGCTCTGTTTTAAAAAAATCCATTAAAGCACGTGAGAAAATGCTTTATATTTTACCAAATCTTCTACAGTTTACATCTCACGTTTACATAGTTCAAGTTACTAAATTACTGTATGACTTTCTTTGGATTTCTTGCAGGACTGCAGAAAAACACTAAGTTACCCTCTAACACCATGCTTTCCTACTGATAAATGGCAAAATTAGGTAACTTCAGCAAGACTGTCTCTGCTACTTGCTCTCGTGCGAGATGAAAAGCACAGCTATTTCTGAACACATTTCCCATCTTGGTAACAACAGATTCTAGTTTTTCCAGCTTGCTAATTACAAGCACATTTCCTTTTTTAAAAGTTTTTAAAGCACTCCTGAAGCAGCACTCAGAATTTAAGAATATGAATTTTATGAATTTGTTTTTAAAACAAAGTAATGTTAAAGGCGGCTAACACTGAAATCCTAAAATGACAGTAAATTTTTAAGAGATTAGCTTATATTGTGTTTCACTGTATCTCTTCAATCATACAGGAAAATTCAATTCTTCCACAGATATTCTAGGACTACAATATGAAGATTAAGCATTTGCGTTCCTTCAGAATAGAATATGAAAGCAATAACAAAATGAAGGTAGAGAAAGTCGTTAAAAGATGGGAAGGATACTTTTCCATCTTCTAAACAATACTGGCCTTTTGGTTTAGGCTTCTCAGCTCAGTTCTGTCTACTAAAAATTTCCAAGGCTGCATCCTTATCCTGAGTCCTCAGGCAGTAAGTCAGACACGTACCTCTTCCACCTAGCTTACTTCGTTAGAATTACTAGGAGATACTACAACTAGAAAGAGTCGTATTTCATGGTTCAAGAGCTTAGAAGGCAGGAGAGCACTCAACTTTTTCAGAAAAAATGCTTATCTTTTACTATAACAGAATGCCAAGAAGGTGCCTCCACAGAACAGCAAAGTTTAGCTGAAGTCCTAGTTCAATATTTGCTTTTGCTGAAATGGATAGAGTACCTACCACTGCTTCAAAATCTTCTATAGCTTTCTCTCTTCAGGACTCTCCAGAATGTACAATGCAACAGCCTTTTTCTAGCATACAGGAAAGTTATCAGAATTCACATTAATAGCTGGATAGTGCTCCAGTGTTCATCTTTAGCATTATTTTTGAACCGCGAATGTTCCTTCATTTTTCTCATACTGTAAATTCAATTTCCTTTGTATTCAACCCACCTTCAGTTGAAACGGGAGTCAAAGATGTTTATACAAAACTACTGCTTTTCAGTGGCTACTGCAAATAGTCACTTAAGCCATGTACTCAATACACAACACTAACTAGAATTAACTTCTAATTGCAAAATGTAGATTTAGAACATCAAAACATTGGTAACTGGATCGAACCTGGCATTGCCATTCCACCACAGCATAACCTGTAGCGTTGCTATTCCACCATAGCATAGCCTCTCATTTCTGCTAGCATCAATTGCTACCAGCAGATGTCGCTGTCCCACAATCTATTTACGAGCTTTTTTATTTTTCAGTTTTAGGCATGACTTGAGGAATTTTGTTGCATGTGATTTAAGACGAAGAATTAAAGTCATTATTATAATGAAGAGAGAATTCTGTGAAACTAAAAGCTTAAAAGGTTTCACAACATTCATAGCTTCTCATTCAAACCTCACTTTATTTAAGCACAGCAAGTCACATTTTACCATGTTAAGTTCAACTGAAATCATGTTCTGTTTTTATGTACTCAAGTGTCATTCATTAAACATAAGCAGTGGTGCTGCCTGTAGCACTCCAGGCTAATATGAAGCAGAAACAGATTCTATGAGCTTTATCAGTATCACACTTTTAATTGCACATTATTCATTTCACTGATTTGCTTAGGTGAAATCTGTCTGCATCCTCCACAGCAACATGAAGCCAAGACTATCCCAAACTTTCATTTTAATAAAGTTGCAATTATAAACCCTTAAGAGCTACACAGAACAGATACTGATAAGATTTAAAGCAGGTAACACTCTTCCAAGACAGTAATTTAGACTTTTAGACTCAAAAATCCATTGCTGCTTACAAATTTTGTTAAGTTTCAGGGTTTTTCAAAGACTTTCTGGGACAAATCACCTCCACTGCTAGGCCACGTTTACATGGAAATAACTCCACTGCTATTTTCAATTTCCAAAACAGGCCAAATAGCTGCCTCTTTCACGTACCGAGCTTCCCAATCAGCTCTCTACCGGCTTTCACTACAAATCCTTACTTCGTTAGAATTACTAGGAGATACTACAACTAGAAAGAGTATCGTTTAGAAGATGGAAAAGCAGAGACAAGAGGAGTGGAAGCGAGTTCCCCATCCCAGTTCCCCAGTTGCAGAAAAGCTCAAAATGTTTCCATCAACTAGCTTCTGGTCTTCTAGAGCTACTTTTGAAAAACTAGATGATGTTTAAGATTTGCCTACAATCAGAAAAGCAATAATTGAAGTGCATTTTACTCTGGAATAATATTTTCAGCTGTTTGATCAGGTATACTATAAAAATCTAACGAAAGAGTCTAGTGACTGAGCATTCACTATACACAGCTGGAGAAGCACTGGACTCTTATAAAAAGGAATCACTGAAGTCTCTGCAGGGGTAATGCAAAATAGCTGGCGTGATCAAGAGATAGTATCCAGATGCACCATAGTTTTAAGTTAAGCTACCAATTAACATGGAAGCTTGATGGTGCAATGTCACTATTTACAGTTCAAGTATAGGTTACTCAGAATCAAGAATATTCATCTAACTCAATTGTGGCTGCTTACCAGACTGAAGATGCCAGCAGAATATTTGTGCCCTTTGCCAGAAATGCTACTGGAGGTTCTGCCAGCATCAAGGAAGATAGAACAGACCCACCAAAGCAATAAAGCATAGCACTAAACCAGCACGCAACTGGACTTCGGACCGACACTTCCACAGCTCCTGAAACAAAGGGAAAAAATACATGAACAGAAGTAAGCATTTGAGAATGCTAAGTTTAAAAGTCCGTATTTTTCAAGTCACACTGTCCCAGATCGCTGCTTTAGATCATGAAAAATCCTGCAGAGAGCTGTAGTCTTCCGCAGGAAAAGTCTTCATGAAAGGAAAACTCGTGATTACACCAACTTAAGCATACGCTACCTAGATAAAAATGAAAGACTAACGTTGTGCTCTTTGAACATCTTTTGTGGT